TGTATGGGCACATTTACAACTAGTCTGGGACGACTCTACTGACCGCAAGTACTACTATTTAATTATGTTTTCAAGACTTTTATTCTGTGAGTGACTATAGTGTGCTCCTGTATGATGGCATACAGGTCTCATATCCTTACCTGCGTTCTACGCATCATCATTACCACAGTGACTGTATTGTACTCCTGTATGATGTAATAGAGGTCTCATATCCTTACCTGTGTTCTATGCATCATCATTGCCACTGTGACTGTACTCCTGCATGATGTAATACAGATCTCCAAACCATTACTTGCGTTGCACGCATTTCCTCAGTGACTTTATTGTTTGGCTGTGTTATGTAATACCGGACTCAAACCCATTACCTGCACATACCACTGGCCTGTGTATCCGCAGTTGAGATCTATCAGAGAAGGCAGGTTGACATATTATCACACTGGGCCTGGCTCTTGTCTTTTGCTGTCACGTATTTCTGGAGTTTGTCCTGCTGATGTGTGCAGCCTTCGCTGCAGATCCCTGCCTGATAGGTGCTTCCTTCATTCCTTACTTCGGCATGAGCCGTTCACCACGATTGCAAGAACCGCCATCCGCTTTAAGGTAGGGGACGACCGAACGGGTGAGTACAGACTAAAAGAGAGCTTTTTGGCTGCTGTGTGGGCGGCCACCGGATGTGGTGTGGGCTCATTTAACGTGAGCTGTGGCAACCTCATGGGCTTCACAGGCCAGGGTTCAGATCGAACCCATTGCATTGGGCATTACAGGCTTTCCCCGGGCCTTCTGCCGACAGTGGACTCCTGGAGGCGGTTTGTCCAGGCGTCTTTTGCTGGATGGAGTGTCTTCTTTGGCGTCGCTTTTGCCCACCCTGTCTGCTTGTTATTTATCGTTTGTATGCTGACATGAAAGGCACCAGGAAAACGGAAAATTGTATCATACTTACCAGTAATTTTTCCTTTCCTGGTGCCTGTCCATGGCAGCATACTACCCACCCTGTTTGTCGACGTATAGTTACAAGAATGCAGGGGGAGTCTCTCTCTCTCTTTTTTATAGATTGTTACTGGTCCTGTGGGTAGGGATAAGGGGTGGAGCTTATCGTATGTATGCTGCCATGGACAGGCACCAGGAAAGGAAACTTAATGGTAAGTATGATACAATTTTCCGTTTTCTCTGCATTCATTGAAGGACAAAGCAACGACCCCTATGGTTGCGATGACTGGTACTATTTGTTGCTCTTTGTATTGCTTTGTGACTCAGGCTTGGTTCACACCTAGGTGTTTGCGTGTTCTTGCACATTTTTGCACGTTTTTGCTTTTAAAAACGCATGTGTCTCCCTGCATAGAGATGCCTATGGGATCAAAACTGCACAGGAATCGCCTCCAAAATAGCTCCTGCATCTTTTCACATGACAGGCGTTTTTCTACATGCAACATAACGCTAAGATGCGATCTGTTGCCATTGACATGCATGGAAATGTGTGTTTTGCGTGCTTTTGCACGCATAGACCCGCGCGTAAAAACACTCAGGTGTGAACCAGGCCTCAGGGACCAAAGAGATTTGGTCACCAGCTCACCTGTGGGTTGGGCGAGAAAAAAAATGCTCAATTCTCCCAGTGTGGATAGGGCAATTCCCCGACCAGGCTATTGTATTGTGATAGTGGCAGGTATGCCGGTGCCAGAATTCACAAAAAGTGACTGCAGCAGTCACTGTTCGGCTGAGCATTTTTCAGTCGAGTTAGCAGTGTATGGCCAACTTGCTTGTTTACGCCATGCCATGAGCAGTGGTTTTCTGCAAAACACATGAATGGCGTGAACAAGCCACATAGAACTGTTTTACACCTTACATGTGCAGAAAAATATGGTCAATGGACATGGTGCGAACAAGCTCTAAATGAAAACAATTTAACTCTTTCACCTTTTTTTTAAAACGGCAGGAATCTAAAAAAACTTACCCTTGAACTGGAGCTACACCCACACTGCAAGGGTTAAGAGCTTGTTTTATCTAGGGACCTCAAATAAAGCAACTATATGCACATGATATTGCAAATATAAACTGATATTGCATATTCCTGTGCAGTACAAGATCACAAGGGAGAGCACAGTCTCCAGCAGCAGTCAATCTATTAGCTTGGAGAAGGAAAGAGGAGAGAGGTGTGAGCAGCAGGAAGCAGGGTAGTGGCTTGCACTGCTGTGCCTGTGTGTTTGTGGAGACACACACAGCTTACTAGCACATACAAGGGTGACTTCATAAGATATCAGGGCCAGTGCTCAGGGGACCTGCTGATTCTGCAGGAAACTAAAACATTTAAACATCAAAAAGCTGCATCCATTGTAAGTGATTTTAATCAGCATTTTAAGGGCTTGTTCACACCGAATGCGGTGCGTTCCAGAGCGGTAGCTGCTGAAACGCACCGCAATCCCTCACAAAACGTCCCCCTGCATTCTGGGGCGGAAGAGGGCGTGGCGGTGCATTGAATTCAATGGCACCGCTTCTATGCCCCTCCGCCCGCACGAGGCTAAACTTTGCCTGCGTTCCGTTCCACTGCAAATGCAAAAAAATAGGGCTTGGTACCGCTCTGGAACGCACCACATTCGGTGTGAACAAGGCCTAAAATAAATTAAAAACCTGACTTTAATACTACTTTAAGCTGGGTACCTAATACCAGGGGCTGACTGGCAACTTTTAGCCCAGGGGGCAAGTACAACCCAGAGGCCCATGGTGCGGCAACTTGGTCCCCCTCACGCTCTGCCTCTTCCCCGCATTCTCCCCGCCCCTGTCTGCCACTTTTGCCATCCATGTAACAGTAGTGTGGATGTATTTATCGATTTAGGAAATGTAAAGCACACTGGTAGTGGAGGGATGCCACGTCAGTGCTGTGCGGGTGCATGACTGCTGCGACCCTGGTAGTTCTGCCACTAACTCAGAAATACATTGTACAGCATTGCAGAATGGCATTGGCTATAGAGAACTACAATTCCCAGCAATACATTACACAACAATGCAGAATACCATCAGCTATATCCTAATACACATAATAGATCTGTGATTTAAAACTGAAGTTTTGCACCCTAAGCAGTGTTACAGATACTGCATAAATTGTAAGGTATGTGTCATACTATACATGAGCAATGCCTTCTTGAAACAAACCTGATGTGAGTATGGAAAAACAAATCTGAAAGGTTATTTACTTATGTATTATAAAGTTTATATATTATTGCATAAACATTTTATGACATTTAACCTACATGCGTGTTTTGAGGAATTATGACGTGTTTATACTGGGTACTCGATTTGCAGTCATAAACAGTTTTGTTACTTTTCCCCCCGGCTTGTAGAGGGAAATGCTTGAGGATGGGCGCAGCTCAGGATGTAGATAGACACTGGAATCTGGCCCTTTACACTGTAAATATACTAAGTAAAGCAACTGACCTTCCCATCCATAACCCAGTCTAGACAAGGCATTTGTATTTTTTCTCGATTTTATAAAGGTAGTAATCCTCTGTCAAAACAATTAGCCGCTTTCAATACCGTACTAATATAAACAAATAAAGGGAAACTCTGGGTACTTTTTATATTAACCCTTGCAGGGGGGCTACCTTTACCCATATCTTTAAAATGACAACAAACACACCTTTAGAAATGTTGAGTAATGACAATCTACAAACACATACTTCTAGATAATTGCCGGCTTTGTATTCTTTGCATACGTTATTTCTCTTATCTTCCCAAGTCTTCTCACAGTGGCCATGTTTACTAAGGGCAGATTACTGGCTCTCCATTTACTTCCTGAAAATCTGGCACATGTGACTGGGACACTGCATATGGTGTGAACGTACCCTAAATCTAGCGCAGCTTCCCCACCATTCTCATGCACTAAGCCACCAATACAAAATCCCTGTACTTTTGGGTTTGGGAGCATGTGCTATGCCCACTGCCTACCCACAATGCAGTGCTCTGGTCATAAGTCAATCTGTCAGGCTCCTGTGTTCTATAATGTGTATATTTAAACATTTGCATTTATAAGTTTGCAGTTCTACTTTAATTGAGCTAAATTGTCAGACGAAAATACCTGTGTCTGCTTTTTTTTAAAAAATAAATCTATCCGATTTCTCCTTTTCACACACAAACTTTATTTTTGAGTGCAGGGGTTGAATCTGACTGATTGCTTTGATGCATGCATATTCAACAGGTTGGATTGAAAATCTGGTCCCATAGTGATTGTCATATGTATACCAAACATCTTACTGATGGGGTATGATGATTTTTCACACAACTCAGCTGAGGGTGTTTGAAGTGTATAGCCAGACTCAAACCTCTAAAGGTGGCCATACACTGTACAAGCATCGCAAGACCTTAGTCTTGCGATGGTTGTAAAGGGATAAAAAAAATGTACAATCTGCCCATCTTGGACGGGAAGATCGCAATCTCGATCATCACAAGCCACGCCCCCTGAGGGGCGGGCTTGCGATGACTGTAATGAGGGGCGGGCTTACGCTGACTGCAAACGGGCAGTGTGCGCGTGCGCACACCGGCCCGTTCGGCAGTTGTCGAACCAGCAGGCCACCAACTCGCCGAGAATCGTACGATTCCCGGCGGGTTTTCAAACATGCTGGTTCGATGGAAGACGTGCGACCGTACAGTAGAAACGGTTGCACGCCTTCCATACACTGCACGATCCTCGTACGATCGCGGGATTTCCCGCGATTCTCGTACGAGAATCGTGCACTGTATGGGCACCTTTAAGGAGGTCCAAAGAGCCAGCTTTGTGTTACAAGTTCATTGTTCAACCCTAATGTAACTCCGTTTATAAATAACTAAATCTCTGACAACCTTTGTTGTTCTGTGACTGCTATCATGAGAATCCACCTGTGCACTGAAAGGTAGCACTTAGACATGAATATCCCAGGTGGAAATACTCCTCTACAACCTCTTTGATCACATTAGTTGCACAGCTAATGTTCTTTTATTGTGACAGTGTGACATGTTACCTTTATTTTCCTATGCAGGTGAATGCATCACGTCAAGAAGCGAAACTCATGGAAGAGAGTGATCAATTAATTGAAATTATTCAACAGAGAAGACAAATTATTGGAACAAAAATTAAGGAAGGAAAGGTAAATGTATACCCTTAAAGGCAATGAAAGTGATTTTATATGTAAACGTACTAATGGATGCAATATACTGTATATATTGTATATAGTGTATGTATTCGCTCGCTGGCCACTTTATTAGATACACCTTGCTAGTACCGGGTTGGACCCGCTTTTGTCTTCAGAACTGCCTTAATTCTTTGTGGCATAGATTCAACAAGGTGCTGGAAACATTCCTTGGAAAGTTTGGTCCATATGGATATGATAGCATCACGCAACTGCTGCATATTTGTCAGCTGCACATCCATGATGCAAATCTCTCGCTCCCCCACATCCTAAAGGTGCTCTATTGGATTGAGATCTGGTCACTGTGGAGGCCATTTTAGTACAGTTGTCACGATTATGGGAACTTGAGCACCAGGAATCGTAAACGCCGGGTCTTGCGGAGCAGTATATAGTGACTGAATTAGGAATGGGCAGGGATACAGGTCTCTGAAGGGACAGTGTGACCGCAAAACAAACGCAGGTGTGCCAGAGTCGCAGGATCTAAGGAGCCACCTGGTCTTCCCCAGAGCCAGTGATGGTGTGGATGTTGAGCTGCGGGGCAGCTCCCAGGTTGCGGCTCTCTGACACACCCATGCAGGCACAGTGCCAGCGGATACTCTGGGACCACAGCACATGGTACAAGACACAGGGTGCATACCGGATACAAGATACGGAAAACAGGCACCAGATGGAAGACGTAGGGAACATGCGGTGCACAGGAAGCAGGTAACAGAAGGGAACACACAACAGGTGTACACACAGAGACAAGAGATACACAGGAACAGCAGAGGGGAACGCACAGGAGAAGGGAGGGAGGTGCACTATAGTGCAGAGCAAAAGGACCACAGAAAGCCAGAGCAGGAGGCAAACCACATAGGTAATCGGGATACACCAAAGAGCGAGGAACAAGCAGCCACAGATGAGAACAGATACACGCAAGGACAGGTGCAGGGGCTCACAGAGGGGAGGATAACCCTCCACTAGCGGGACAGCAGGGTCTCACAGGGAGCACAGAGAATCACAGCACACATAGGGAGCATGAATAGGCCAGAGTCTAGGGCAAACAGAGATATCTGCACCGGGGAAGGTACTAGGTACAGGCACACAGAAGAGAGCACAAAGATGGCAAGGGAAAGCGTACAAACAAGGTAGGATACCAGCACACAGGAACTACAACACATGGGAACACAAGAACCAAGCAAGGTAGGAATAGCCAACAGGGAGATCATGAGCAAAGGGGGAATTTCAAGACGGAGAGATCGCGAGCAAAGGGGGAAATGCCAACAGGGAGGTCACAAGCAAAGGGGCAAATGCCAACAGGGAGGTTACGAGCAAAAGAGGAAATGCCAACAGGGAGATCTCAGACACAGGAGAATCAGCACAAAACAGGGATCCAAAAGGGAAAACTAGCACAGGAGCTCACGGGAAACACAAGGGGTCCGATGCAAGAAAGAAGACTTGTTGCTCGAACGAAAAGCAACAAGTGAGAGAGTGCTAAGTAGAAGAAGAGGTGTGCAGATTGGGTGCAGCCCTGTGGAATCCCATAGGCTGACAGCCAGGCACCAGGTACCCACATGAAAATCTGGCATGGATTGCCGGACATTGTGACAACAGTAAATGAATTATCATGCTCAAGAACCTAGAGGCGCCCTGTGTGATAGCAAAGAGGATGTGGCGGGTCCTTTTTATGAGTGAAACAAATGGCAAACACACTCATCAATTCATAACTAGCTTTAAAGCAAGGTGCACATGGAAGAGCTTTACACAGTACAGAAGCAAAAATTTCCCAGCATACATGCCGGTCAGCCTGCAAAAAAAAAAAATACACCGTCTAACTATTAGGGTGAAAACAGAGGTTTTAGTTGCACGACTTTTGCAAAATATGTGGAAGCCACACTACCTCGCCAAGGCTCCTCTGAGTAGTGTGGTCCTAACTTTAATCTGTAAGAGCATATATAGCAAAAGGATGAATTGGGAGCAGGTTTGCCAGGAGGTAGCCCAACCTCCTTAAAGGCACAGGGACACCAACCTTCTTAAAGGCATAAACCCCACACATCACAATGGCAGCTGAAGGGACACACTGGGGCTTCAGCTGCCACTGTGAAGTGCTAAGCTTCTGGTGTGTCCCTGTGCCTTTAAAGAGGTTGGGCTACCTCCTGGAAAACCTGCACCCAATTCATCCTTTTCTATATATGCTCCAAGATGGAGGCTCTTATAGATTAGAGTTAGGACCACACTACACAGAGGGGTCTTGACAAGGCAGTGTGGCTTACACATATTTTGCAACAGTTGTGCAACTAGGACCTCTGTTTTAACCCTAGTAGTTAGTGTATTTTTTTGCAGGTTGGCTGGTGAGTGTGCTGGGAAATGTTTGCTTGGGTCCTTTTTATGGAGACATCAGGGGCCTATTAGACCCCAAATGTCACCTATGGAATCCAAAGAAGCGGATGCTTCTTCCTTGACATCAGCAGCCGGAAAAATGACAGTCTGAAACCAGAAGTGATGTAATGCACATCGCTTCCGGGTGCAGTGATCGGAGGGGAGATCAGCCTCTGGAACTGTGGGGATCTCCCTCCGATCGGGGCACACAGACCCACCCACAGGTCCGCATAGGGGACAGTGGAGCCCAGGATAGCCAGCAGTTGAGGGGGTGGCACACACTGCCCAGCTCCAAGCCTCAATGCTTGTATGTGACAGCTAGGTGCCGGCTATAAAAGTCGGTACGAAGATCATGGCTGCTGCAGCAGCCATGATTTTGGTATAACTGCTTCAGGGCCGGGCCGTTTAAATACTTTGGGCAGTCCTGAAGTGGACCTTTCTTGGAAGAACTACATACAGGTGCTTCAATTGTACAAGATTCTAGTTGCCTGACTGCTCTGCTAACGCTGACTTTATTATTTTTTCCAAGTTACAGACCTGGAACAGGTACATATATCAGGAAAACCAGGCATCCTTGGCTCCAAGCTTGTTCTGGGTCACTGACTCAAACTATTGAACTAAGAGAATAAACATGACAGTCAGGCAACTATTTTTTTGTAGAATGAGAAACCAGCTATGTCTCCCTCCAAGTTCCTCCACCCATATGCACAACACATGGGCCAATACAAATGTTAATCCCTGTAAGCACAGGAGACGGGATATGCAATAGTATGTATACACGTTTATCATAGCACATATGGATATGAACTGGTCCTTATAAATCTAATGAATGACAGGACAGAGTGAAAGATGTGATCATGTATGGTCCACAGCAATCCCACTGTATACAGCAGTGTTGTTTGGTCTTAATTGCTCTTGTAAGAAATGTTGACCCCTGACAAGTGAGTGATTTTATACCCTTAGATCACAATTACTTTATTTATACCCTGCTGCCAAGAGAGCCTTTATTTTGTAGCAATTTGCTTGCCTAGCTGAGGCCTCCTGGTATGCGGTATTCTTCAACTTCCAAAGTTAACTTTAAATGTCAAGCCCGGTAGATCTTTTGTGAGAAAGCTGCCGTCTAAGAATAAAGTCCGTTGCAGGTTTTAATGGTTCACTAGGCTGCCATGCACCTTTAATTAACTTCAAATAAAAGGCATGTCGGCCAATAACCGAGGTAAAGCTGTTTGAAGAGCAGTCTTCCGAGAGGTGAAACTGTGAGGGCTTTAATGGAAGAGAAAGCAAAAAAAATGTCTTTTTGCTATTTTAAGAAAGTTTCATGGTCACTGACTTAAGCTCTTACATCCTTTTAACAAGCCGTATTGATAAATGATGTGAAGCAGGGAAGTTTATTTTTAAAATTGACCTATTGGAAAGCAAATCTGCTATTAAAGTGCAACACCAGCCACCAAGCAAACTGCTGCTAAGTAGGAAACATTGGAGCTCTCCTAAAGGAAGATTGTCTACTCAGTTTATGTAAGGAATATATCATATATTGCCAGATTCAACAGGCTTTCATAGTGCTTTTGAATGGGACAGCATGCTTTTGTCATATGGTTCTATAGTAAGCCCTCTGAGAATTACAGCGACACCAGGATAAACTGGACTTGTGACAGCTTCTTTTTCACAGGCCAGTTTGAATTATGGGGATGGGACCACTGTATCATGCCTATAATTTGGGGGCTGGCATTGTATTTTTGTGCACTTAAATTAACTGTTTATTTTGTACTGAAATTTTGGGCTTGATAAAGAATTGCACTAATATTATGCGACATAAAAATTAGCAACCGCAACCATTTTATTCTACAGGGTCTCTGGTTTCAGGGAATGTATAAATCTGGAAGTGGGTGTTTTAAGTAATTTTCAGGCCTAAAATGTGGATTATTACATGGGTAAGAATTGTCAGCCATCACACTCTACCCTTGTTTTCCCTTGTTTGAGAACTATGGGATTGCCTATTTTTACATATTAACCTGGCACATTTTGCAAAGAAAGCCTACAGATATAGTGACTCTGATTTTACTAAAGGAGTACAGCATGTTTACTTTCAAAGTGAATTTTCACTTTGCAAATGAGGAAATTTCAGGCGGGAATCAAATAATATCCAATCATGTCCAAGAGAAATTTTAAAAAAATTCTGTTCACACATGATTGGATGATTAAAGTCAGTACAACTTCACCTCCGTCACTGAGCTAAATGAAATTTATTTTTGCGCAGAAAAGTTTCACTTAGTTTAAAAGAGAACTATGGCCAAACCTTTTTGGCTATAGTTCTCTTGAGGGTCACAGGAGGGCATTTACTAATGTCCTCCTGTGACCAAAACTCTGCATATAGCAGGCTATTGCCCACTGTATGCTGACAGCATAGAGCCACGCTGTGGCCGGGAAAGATCCTGACTCAGTGGCGTAACAATCACCATAGCGACCCAGGCGGTCGCTATGGGGCCCGGGGCACAGTGGGGCCTAGCCAGATGCCGTGCGGGCTGCCTGGGTCGCTATGGGATCTTCTGCTGCTGGCTTTCACTGGAGTCTGAAGACGAACACGCCGCTGTTCAGATCTG